CACATAAATTTTTTTTTTTTTTTTTTTTGAAGCGTCGGGTTTGTTTTGGGCACTGCCGTAGCGCTCTCTATGCGATGAAATATTTTGCCACGGGCGTTAGGAGTTTTATAGTTACACCACCGCTGCAGGCGGGGCATTAAACAAAATAATAATAAACTAAACAAATCGTAAACAATATTATGATGGCTTATGGGTGTTTAAAACCCTCCGTTTAGAGCGGTCTACGCGACTGGCCGCCTTCTTAAAAACACGGCCCGGCGCCACTGCGTTCGTACCGTCCGTTCCAATACGTATTTTAGCGAATAGACAAACTTTAAGGGAACGACATTGTCCGTGTCTGTACGCCGGCTTTCTTATGCCATTTAACGCATACGCAGTTCACAGAACGATACGGGCGCTTATCGGAAATCGGTCTCTGCCTCAAAGTGCAACAGTATAGCTGAAGTGCCCGTCGATATTCAGTCTAGCGGCGCGACAGCTGACGGCCGCGGCGCAATCGGCTCCACCGCGGTACGCGCACGTTTTCGCTACGGACCGCCGCGTCGTGCGCCGCAGTGCGTGGCGTCCTCTCGGCGCGCTTAACGAAACAATCGCACCGTACGCATTTACGAACTACCCGTACGCACAAGTATCTGTGTGTTGTACGGTCGGAACGGACGACGCTGCGGCTGCGACGAGTGTAATATTTTCGTTCGGAGCCGTACGCCGGTAATTATGGCGGGCAACGGAGTCGTGTACCGGAGAGAGAAAAAAAAAAAAAAAACGCGCGGGGCGATGCGCGGGCGCGTTATGCCGCCGCTATATTACGGCGTACAGCGTTCTTTTTAAAACATTTTTTCTCTCTCTCTCTCTCACTGTACACCGACGCCGCCGCAGCAGCTCGTTTATGCTTAATACTATTATAATACACGATATACATGTACAGGCGCACGCACAGACACAATATTATTATACATACGTGCCATGCACACGCGCGCTGCGGGTAGACGCAGGTATAGGCGTGTAGGTATATTATACAACACGGGAATACTGATATTGTGTACGATGTTATTATTATGCGCGCGCGTCATACTTGCGTACGGTCGCAGAGCCGCAACGCACACGGGCACCGCGACGGCTCGTCGGTGGGGGTTGGGCGGATGGGGTGGGGAGGCGTAGGGGAAAAGGTAGTTACGGGTGGTTAGTGTTGACAGGTGTGCAGCAGCAGCGCCGCGACTACTGGCTGGCGGCGGGCGCGCGCACACACACGCGCACACACGCACGCACACGACAATGCACAGGGTTTCTCAAAATCACACTCATTACACCCCGGGTCGGGTACCTGTGTGCCCCGCGCCGATATTGCCGTGCGCCGGCTGACGTTACACCCGTACCTGTGCGCGGCGCACACCTGCCGTACGGGCACCCTGTATTAACGTCGGCCGTTTCGCGGCGAACGCCATGGCGGTTCCGTAGGTTTTTTTTTGTTTTTTTTTTTTTTTTTTTTTTCCGTTCCTATTCGCCTTCCCCCCCGGTCCGTTCGGTTAAAACGCCGTCGGCCGCCGCCCGACGTCCGCCGTCTGCCGCAGTCATTTTCCACGGGTTTGCAACGCACCTACGCGCACGCGTAATAACGACGATAATCGAACGTGGGACATATTGCGCTGGCCAAACGTCATAACGCCTATAGGGCCCGTGTTTGACGTATCCGTCCGCGTTGTGTTGACACGACATCGTCGCCCGCCACTAGCCGCGGTAAGTTTCGCCCGCCGCTGTGCCCTAGAACACATTACGGCGCGCGCGCGTAGTCTTTTCCGGGCCGCGTAACGAGTTGCCGCAGTCGAGTCGCGTTACTTCTTGCGCACCGCGCCGCATCGCCGGCCCCGTCCAAACGTTTCAAACATCGTTTCGAATTCGTTACGGTTTTGTCTTTTTTTTTCCCGTTCTCCCCGCGCTTGCTACGACGTCTCTCGCGCTCTCTCTCGCGCTCTCTCTCTCTCTCACTCTTTCCCCCGCAGCCGCCCATCCGTCACCGTCCGCGGTTTCGCATACGTCACGCGCACGCAACGTACCCGCATTATCGCTCGCGCGCACTTGCCCGCCCGGCGATAACGGCGACAACGATAACGCGACGTTCGAGGACATAATCCGCGCACAACGCCGAAGCGTACACGCGCGTTATGGTTTCGTCACGCTTCAATCGTCGGATCGATGTAACGATGTGACGCGGCGCAGCTCTCGCCCTCCCCTACGCAAGAAGGCCGCGTCCACCGCCGCCGGATTATTACGGCAATATAGGTATGTTTTTTTGGTTTTTTTTTTTTTTTTTTTTTTTTTTTTTTTGTTTTTCTGTTTTCCCGTGTCCGATATTCGACGGCGGTCCGCGGTTGTATTTATTTGCTAACGGTGTTGTCACATTTGTGTACGTGTGGTACAAATAAATATCGACTCGGCTGTTGTAAAATATTTATCGTTGTGTACCGGGGGCACCTGTATAGTATGGTCACGATTAATTTTACGCGAGCGGCAAAAACGCGTACGTCGATAATATTATTACATATCATTATCATTACCATTATTATTATTACTGTGCAGTGGGACCGGTACGGAGAGGGGAGGAGACCACCACACCGTTTCCGTTGTAATCAAACTCGTAACTAGTTTGAGCGATCGCGGTTCTTTGATAATGTTACGTATACGGACGATCGTTCCGGCTAATTACGCGAATAACAAAAATGAAAAAAAAAATACGAATTACCTGTCTAAGTGTACCTAATTTTACGCAAAGGTGAACTTCTCTCGAAAACCCAAAAAGAATTACTGTATTATGGCGATGAGTAATATTTTCGACGGCACGCAACTATGCCGAGTATACCGACATATTTTTTTTTTTTGTGAGTATTGTATTTTTTAAAAAAAAATATATATATATATTTTATTTAAAACAGACTGCCGTTTTAAGTGCCCGTTACTTAATATTGACTCACTCTCGACTGATGATATTTAAAATCTTAACCGTTTTTTTTTTTGGTTTTTTACAATTACCAACTGTTACGGATCAATAACGCTGTACGTTTGTTTCGTCTTTACGAGTGTGACGGCAGTGTGTTTCCGAGTTCGGCGATTTTATCCAACAGCGGCTAACAACATACGTCCCTTACGAAATATTTGCGAAGAAACGTCACGCGCTCACGAGGCGGCCGGTAGAAAACGACACCTCATCACTGACAATCCCAATATTTGAACTCCGCGCCGTCGCTCACTTTTCACGGAGCCGACTGGCGACTCATAACAACGCAAATAAACCAAAACGTACAAACCGATACGAAAAATGCACCACGCGCTTGAAAAATATTTTGAACCCAATGCGTAATCGAAAAGCCCACAGGGTCATCGATACTGTCGTACAATCATATTATCCCCTCCGAGGTGCCGGGTTTTCGACGTTTCCGTTATTGCCGTCAGTTAACATTAGTTGACCGTACGTTAATGTAGTACTTCAATTAACGTTCCGATTAAACAGTATGCGGTTTATCAATTCAATTTGTTGTCTGCGTCAACGATGAAACCAATACTACGTTCGCTATTTTGCATAATATTGCGAAATGTCTACTTGTTATTGTTATCGGTAGTATAGTGTTTATTGTTAATCGCCAGTAAAGTTACAATTTATTAACGCCGTTTATCAATTATTTATAACAAATGACTACTTGCAGATTGTGTGAATGTCAGAATATTATTAAAATATTGATACATGAAAACTAGGAAAAAGGATAAAAAAAAAAATAAAAGTAATTGGGGGAAAAAAAATATACCGGTAAGTCGTATCGTGTTCGTGCCGAAAATAAATAGAACAACCAGTTGAAAGTTCCAAGCACAGGGTGAAATAATCAAAACTGTCTTGATTTTAAGTACGACGACTTGCTTGGCGGTCTGTTTTTTATTATAAAAAAAAAACAACTGAAAATAACTACGTGTAAGCAGTGAGCGCAGAATCTTTTTTATTTATATTCCTCTAATTATTACGAATTTGTATTTCGTGTTGTTTTAATATACTTGTGTGCTTTCTATGATTGTTCGTGTAATATTTTCTATTTTAATTTCGCTATTATGGAAAGTTTTTGTAACTGGATTGGTCCCGTATGTATATTTAAATAAATAAATAATCGCCTGTTTTCAGTTAAGCATACTGGCATACTTACACGATTGTTAATATCGGAATATCGCTGATTATAATTTAGTAACTCCTATCTTGGAAAATGTGACACGACTGAATTCGGTACAACGACAAGTTTGAGTGCACTGGAATGCATCACTATAATATGTACACGCGGGATCTGTCGATATAATATATTGACAGTTCCCTCTTTTACACGGACAATTTAAAGTACGGTAATATGACGGATAGTTTGATGGAGCATGTATGAGCATCGTTCAAGTAATCATTTTCCCGTTTCGCTAAAAATCGAATTCGAATAATTTTTTATATATTTAATACGAGTTAATACTTCGAAAAATGTTTCTTTGAATAAATAAGTTTCATAAAATGCCGAAAATAGTTTAAAATATAACGAAAAAATAATGTACGCGAGTTAAGCTGCAATTTTAGTTATAACAAAACAAATCTTTAAAATCTTTTATGCTAAGAATAAATATTGCAATTGATAATAATTATCAACAATTTTCAACTGAGGGTTAACAATCAAGATAACCGGAAGAATGAATAAGTATCGATTAGATTTTATTGGTACTTAATTCAGACTGCGGGTTAGCTTAGTCGGAGGGTCGATAAATAGTTTAAATGGAATATTTAGTGTTGACCGTCAGTCGACACCTGCTATTAGTTAAAATCAATTGAAAACCCGGCCGCGAGACGTATTATTACAATTATTGTAATATTAGTTATCGTTTAACGATATCTACCTAGGTATAGGTTTAAATAGTATTTAGGTACAGTGGCGTGACGAAGAGAGTAATCGAGTGGCTGTCACTTCTGATTTTTTTAAGGGGGCTTACTTATATGAAATTTTTAAGAAAGCGATAAAAACCCAGTATCAAATCTTTATGTATAGTGAATGTATAGCCAACGGGTGAGTCATGGGTTCGTCGGTAGGATATTTAAAACAAATACTCGCCTCTAAAAATATTCGGTTTGCCACGCCACTGTAATAGGTACACAGCATAACGGTTAAAAATTAGATTTAATTGAAGTGTATAACATATATTTTAACGATTTGTATTGATTGGGGAAGTTTGAAATAGAAATTATAACAAATACATTTTCCGAGATGGTAAGCGACATGCACATTTAAATTTGTATTGTTTTTACAATCTTTTTTTGAGAGGACGCCACACGCGCGTTATTGAGTCACTTTTTATTGTGTTAGGTTAACCTTTTTGTTTTCTCTGTCGGTTTCGCGCGTAAAACAAACACATTTCGTATTTTGTGACTACCTAGTCGAATTTAGGACAAAGAAATTTATTAGTTATTATACACACATATTATAAAGAAGGGTATTTACTATTGATCTTACTAATGATTTTTTTCTTTTTATCATAATACGCGTTTATCAATTTAACTTATTATGTTAGTGACAGTCCCCGCAATTCAATTTACAGTGTTTTAATATATCTAGATACTTTCTGAAAAAATGTATCTGTATCTTAGATACAGAATATAGTGTATCTTAATGAAAGTATCGAAGAACTAAGATACAATTCTTACTTTTTTGCTTCAACTAAATACAAAATTAAAACACACAATTCTAAAACCTAATTCTTTTTAAATAAAAATATCAACAATAAATTGTTGATAAGTACGAGGTGTGGCTATTAAAAAACGAGACTGCTCGCCTAGAGGGCGCCCTAGATGGGTAGTGAAAAAAACGAGTAATGCGTTGGGTATCTAGATATCTTATCTAAGCACGTACCAAAACACGTTTTCGTCACTATTATAGTATTTGCGCAGTAGTGGTTTGAAACGAACGTGTTTTTTTCTCGTGCCGAAAACCATGTGTGACGAAAAACATGAGCAACGGATAAACGTAAAATTTTCTCGTTAAACTAAAAAAAACTCCAACCGAGTGCTATAAGTTGTTAAAAAAGGCCTATAGTGAGGATTTCCTATCTCGGGCGCGTGTTTTTGAGTGGCGTAAATTATTTTCTGAAGGTCGAGAGTGCACCGGAATCCAATTCGGTCGTAATCTAAATTCAAAACCGTTTTCTTCGATAACAACGGCATCGTGATGACTGAATGGGTTCCAGAGGGTCAAACTGTGAACCAACATTACTATTTGACAGTTTTGGCAACATTGCGCGAATGAGTTCGTAAGAAACGGTCGATATTGTGGAAAAACAAGTCGTGGATCTTGCACCAGGATAAAGCGTGAAGCGTTGTTTGGCCGCTTAAGGCACTCCAGTACTCGAACACGCGTCTTACTCACCCGACTTGGCACCCTGCGACTTTTACTTGTTTCCGAAGATAAAGTCTGCCTTAAAAGGAATCCGGTTTGAGTCGATGGAAGAGGTGAAACAAAAATCGGCGGAACTCCTGAATGGTCTTACGAAAACAGACTTCCAGCACTGCCTCGAGCAATGGAAGAAACGAATGAAACGGTGTGTGGCGAGGGGAGGGGAGTATATTGAAGGGGAGCATTTGAATGTAGAATAACTTTTATAATAAAACACTTTTTCGTAACCAGTCTCGTTATGTAATAGCCACACCTCGTATTATTTTCTGATTCCTTTATTATTATAAATTATTATGTATAAATGTATGACTACATTGTGTATTGACAAGTAGATAATACTCATTATTTGTTTTATATTTACCAATAATTAACCAATATTTTATTATTTAATATACAACTGACAATCATGATTGTCTTATAACTTAAAACTTTATATGAATAAAATTATATTTGAAAACTGGCATAAAAATGTTGATACCAATATTATTGTATTAAAAATATGTACCCGTTACTTGTTTTGTAATTCTATATTTTTAATGAATTAAATATTCATAACAAAATTATCTGTTTTTTAAATGTATCTTAAAATGTATCTAGATACTAATATAAAGTATCTTATTACAGCACCGTCGATTCGTTTTATACGATTCTGTAAAATCTCGAATCGTGTGTTATTCGTGTTGTAACTGAGAAATTTGTACTTGTATTTGTTTATTCGGCATGATCGCGGGGCATTGGAATTGATTCGAACAGAACTGATATTATAATATATATATATTGTATTCGCTGTTATCAAATGTATATAATGAATATTGAAATCGCTTCTTACACACCGAGTTTGTATGTTATACAAGACTATATTTCAGTCGAATCATTCGAATATCCGGCCTTATAATTATATGTTGTTCGTAACTTTTGAAAAACAAATAATTATCCAATCATTTTTTTCCTTGTAATGTCTTCAGAACAGTTAATTATATAGTTTTCCGTAGCAAAGAGGAAAAACAATTTTGCATAGTCACTGTAGATCGATTAAAAATGCGATCGTTAAAAATATAGTTCGAATATAAATATCTATTTCGAGGTGTATAATAATAAATAAATAATAATAAAAACATAAAAAAAAAAAAAAAGAAATGAACGGGAAGGATACGGATGAGGTTTATAGGGTGCTGTTAATGTTTCGCATCGCTTAACCGAAAAGAACTGCACGCCGCACCGATTGTATATAAATCCAACACCGCGTTTCTTTCGTTCGACAATATATTATGTATACATAAAATATACATAAAAACTATATTATAATAATAGATCGTAAAGTAAAAAGAAAAAAAAAAATAGTAAAATATATAAAGCGCTTCGGAATATTTTTAGTTTTTCTTTGGACGTGTTATTTAACATAACAAACAAAATACCCGGATATACACACTACATATTATGCACTGTGTTGGGTAGACAACTGTAGCAGTCAGTAAAAAGTCGGTAGGTCATTGCATACAAATAACACGATTCTGATGAACGATTTCCTGTGTAATAGAAATAGATCAGATAGGAATATTGGATATGTTTCCTAAGTGCAAGCCCCCCCCCCATACATAAACTTGACATTTAAAAATCCGGCTTCGAGTTGTCCACCTATTCAACGGAATTGCCTATCTCCATGCATCGCGCTTTGTTATGTAGATATTTTGTCCAAACGCGATGTATTGTCTGCATTTCTATTCAGTTTTTACTGTTTTATTTTTTCATTTATAAAACAGTTGGTAATCTGAAAATGAGATTCAAATATAGAATACCACCGGGCGACAAGGTTTTGGAAATGATTTTAAAATGATAAGCTAACCGACAAAACGTTATCCGAGAAAAAACACACTGGAGTAAAAAACAAATAGTTTCTTCGTTCTATTCTCAGAATTATTACAAAACCATAAATCGAATAAAAAACAATGAAAATTTGATACGGCTGATGGGTGTGCTGATGGCCGTAATGGGAAATTAGAATAGTAGTATATCTATTTAATTTATATTTATGTAACGAATTTCATTGCTAACGAAATACAATTCTGAGTGAAATTCGGTTAAACGTGGTTTGAAATTCCGTGGTTTATAAAATTTTCGTTTAAATTGGAATTATTTAACGCGTAAAAAAAAAAAAAACTACTGGCCGATTACGCTCAACTTTTTTTTTTATAACCACTAAATACAAGTTATGATGAACGTCGTGTAAAATGTACAATAATTTCTGCCCGGCCAAAATAATTTTATACAGTGTACTCTAGTGCAGATAATTAGTAATCGTGAAATTGACCGGGTGGAAAGGGGAAGAGGTTATTATGAAAGTTTTCGAGGCACTAGCAAGGAATGATATTCTGAAAAAGATATCTCTACCATGCATATACGTCGCTCATTATTATGGAGCAAAACTGGGCGGAAAATCCGGCGTCTCGTATATTATCGGCACTAGTCGCGTTTATCTAAACCTCCGTGTAAACGCGTTCCCTTTGAAAGCGATACATTATAGGATTTTGTAATATTGTATAGGTGTATTATAATATTGTGAATGGTTAACTACAGCTGCAGCACAATATTAGATAGGTATATTATATAGTAAATAATACAGCCGAGAACGTTAATGAACGGATACGAACGTGGCATGAGCACGCGTGTTGTACGAAAGAGAAAGGTGTGATGCGCTACGTGTGTGATGTAGAGGAAGAGGTCGGATATAATAAAAGCCTCGAAGGTCTTAAATGGACCGTTAAGTCGGGGTGGGGGGGGAATCATATATATATCTATATGAATTATATTATGAATTTACCGCGGCTTTATACCCCTGGGGTCGTCAACCTGGTGCAGCAGCCGCAGCCGCACGGAAAAATAATAGGAAAATAACGACACTATGGTTTTCATTATTACCGGTGAAATAACTAGCTGCGCGGTGTATTATAGTCACAGTTTTCCATCACGGTATATGCATTAGACGCGTATTATTATTATTATTATTTTTTTCCTCCGGTCTCTTCTCCGCTCGGCGATTTTCCGAGTTGAATCCTATACACAACAACATGATAATATTATATAGGTATGGGGTACTTGACGCAGTTTTCCTGTCGGTGTTATTTACCCGCCCGGGCACAGGAAGTGTACGATTCACTATATATTATACAAAAAAATTCCCGTCTCACGGTTTTTGAGTTTTCCCCGCGACGACGGTTACCTCCCACAGACTATTATATAGGTATACGTATATATATATATAAGTGACTTATATAGCTGGTAGATATTATAGGTAATATATATATATATATGTGAACAAATGCTGATGGTGTACACCATCATCACTCTTGTGATCGGTTCCGCTAGTTTTCTCGGTGCACGGTCCACTAAAGTCGCGTTTCAATGATTTGTTCAATTCATTCATCCAAAAAAAAAAAAAATAATAAAAACATCGTGTCACCGTGACATCAACCCAATCGACTGTTACAGCTCTGGTGTTGTTCGAATCGACGAATTCGTCTAAATGTAAAACGGAAAGAAAAAAATCGGACAGATCGGGGGACGGGGGAAAAGGAAATACTTACAATAATACTTTCTAGACCGCGGAAAAATCGAATCTCCGTACCTATTAAATATATATATTCACGTTTCAAGCGATGTAAATTTATAAAAGAAAAAACAAATATTCGTAGATTTTTAAATAATTGCGTATATCGCGTCCAATTAAAACGGAACGCAAAATCAGAATCGTGACTGTATAATTTGAATAACGATGCTGTATAATTCTTTCAATAATATGATTTCTGCGGTTAATTTACTAACAGACCGATATTAAAAGCAGTGAAACTATTCGATAGTATCGTTCGACAGACATTATTTAGGTAGTTATATACATATATAATATTATTATTGATATATTTTGAATAAAAAAAAAATGTGATTATACATTTAAAACCTGCACTCGTATACTGTTAAATTCAATTTTCGCGTTGTTACTATTTCACTAAATAATTACGACGTCTAATAGTTTCCAACTACGGAATTATGCGAGTATTTTTAACGATCGTTTTTTAAACTTCAGAATCGTTTATACAGGTATACATGTTTATATTTCAAATTTCAAAGCAGAATCATTTCATTTTTTCTCCGGTGTTTTAAAACGTTTGTTTCTGCAAAATAATTTGTTATTGTATTATTTTAAACGGCAACTGGTTATTTTAATGCAATTTTTATTTATGATTTATTTAGTATATTGATTAATTTGATTTGTATTTTTAGTATATTTTAGTCGAATTTCCCCCGAAAATAAACACTATTGCAGCCTACAATGCCTATTATATATGTATACATATCCTTCCATTTCCCTCTGAACCAAATTAATTCAAATTCGATAATTAGAATTGTTTTACAGAGTTTTTTTACTGACAGATTGAAGTGACAAAAGTTGGTTTGAATTTCAATATGAATTTAAAAAAAATTGTTTCTGGTATATAAGATGTTTTTTAACTTGAAAACGCCCTACAAATCTAGTAAATGAAGCCACGGGGACGAAATTTTGCATTCCCAAAAATATTAATACAAATGTGCTTTTTTTAAGTTTCGACTTCCTATCCCACCATTTTTTTGCTCAGATTTTAAGTTTCAATTTTTGGTAGTAGTATAATATAGTTGTATAGTATACTTAGTAAATAATAGTATTTTTATGGTATTTGATTGTTTTTTTTTTACAGAGAATATTTTTGTAGATAGTATATACACAATAGATAGGAGAAAATTTGACTTCAGCGACGGAACTTTGCTGCTTATTGATGATTTTTAAATTGCTTTTATATCATTTTTCGCAAAATTTTAATTTAATTTTACACGATAATGGCATTGCAATCCAATATTCAATTATCTTATCAATGGCCACATTGGTGAGGATAAGTCAAGTACAAACGTGACCGGATAATGTCGTGTATGTATATTGATAGAATTTTTTTTGTTTTACTTAATTTTGAGTTGTAAAAATAGATTTTAAATTCACTCATGTACTGCCGTTTATATTTTGAACTTTTAAGTAATTTCTGTTAGGGTATTTTTTTTTTTTAGAATATTATAAAACGCTTACCCCGGTCATCGATCAATTGATCGTACACTAAACGCTGTACAAAATTATATTGCTGTGCGCGATATTATTTAATTATATTTATCTATACCCGTATGCATAATACACCTAACACGCTCCTTTTCGGAGTGACTTATTTCAACCGCTGTCGCAGTCTCGCATTAGATTATTTGTATAGTTCGAAACCATTTGTATACATTATAATATACCTACGGTAATAATTTTTTTT